GATGTACTATGTGCAAAATTAGAAGTGAAGTTACTTTTATAATTTTTAAGGCTCTTCAATTAAAATTTACTGTGAGTTTGCTCTGAACAATATATAATTAACATGTACAGTGCTTTAATAAGTAAAAAGTAAGCTTTATAGCTTTACCAGTTAATTCTCTTCTTGGCCTGTTTACTTAGATGCTAATATAATTGTCAGTAGTTCTCATCTATTTTTACAGTGCACAGTACAGGATTGGATTCTTTTCCCCCCTTATTAAAATGCATATTTGATTTCAGTCCTTGAAATGATCATAGAATCACAGAATGATTTGGGTTGGAAGGGACCTTAAAGTTTACTTTGTTCCAGCCCTCCTGCCACGGGCAGGGACACCTTGCACCAGACCAGGTTGCTCAGAGCTCCATCCACCCTGGCCTTGAGCACTGCCAGGGATGGGGCTAAGTGAAATTATTTTTTTAGGTCTGCTGACTGCAAACTGTTGCATACCAATGCAGTTGAAATTTATAAAGACTATTTCAATACTCTTGTAACATTTTTACTGAGTTTTGGAAAGGCCATTATGGGAAGGTAATAATAGCTTAGTTTGTGCATCAGACAAACTTTGATTGTATATTCACCATTGTGATGTGTATCATACATTCTGTGAAGTGAAACTAACAGAAATCTTCTACTGAGACTTATTTTCTTATGTTGTACAAATAACCTGTCTGGTTCTCTTCTTTAAATGTGTAGAGAAATTTTGCAGAGAAAAGATACAGAATTTCAGACACAGGATTTACTGACATTTCATAATCAAATGTACCTACAAAGCAAAAATTTTCAAATTTAGTCTGCTTTGCCTTTTTAGATTAAGGTTCTGGAGTTGGCCAGGGAGCTCTAACTGTGCAAAACACCCACACTATTAGTAAACTTGATAAAAAAATGAAATCTATTTTTTGGTGTGTAACAGGGACCCACTACAAGCCCACTTAGGCCACCCTTCTGATCCTGACCCATGAGCCATGAACAGACCCATCACCTGTCCCACAGATGAGCACTAAGTTAACCCTCTCCTCCTCACCTTCCCAGCCTATCCTTTCTGAAGAGTCTGTATCCAAACAAGCTATTTCACATTTCTTTTTATTTCCAGTGATGTCTGTGGCAAGAGCAGTAGACAGAAGGCTGTCAGCCAGGCACAAGTAGGACATAGCAATTACATGGATAATTATGACAGCATCAAAATGTTTAATGAAAAATAACAGAATTTCCAAATGATCTAACTTGAAAAAGACTTATCATAGTTTTTGTAATGTGTCCTTCCACAAGAGGGGGAATATCACTTGTTATGATGGGGAAAGCTAAGGTTCTTTTAGAAGTAACAGCATGTACTCAGGTTTTTCAGATTCTATCAGAGGTGTGACACCCAGCTTCTTCTCTATTTAAAATAAACAAAAATTTTACTTGATTGTCAGAAATAAAATGTATGATCTAAAATATAATGGTTTGGAAGATCAGCAGAATTTTCCTTAATGGCCTCTTTATTGTTTTTTTGAACAGCAGTTTTTCAACTTGGATTTAAAGCATTCTTGCATTACATTCTCCATCTCCTTGCCCCTTGTAGCTTTTCCTCAAAAATCTCCAAGTTGACTCTAATTCTTCTGTTGTTTGCAAAAGTTGTGATAAAACGTTCAGAAGCAGATGGATAACACATGCAAGCAGCAGATCAAGCAGACAGCAAGTGCTAAAATGGAATCAGTGACATTAAGCACAGTATGTCTAATACTGATAAATATACCAAAGATCAAAATAAAGTTTTTTAAATCCATTGATGTAATCTGCGGTTCCACCAACCAGTGAAAACGATGCAATGTAGCTGCCAGTGAACCCACAGAACACTCTCAGGGAGCTCACCAAACTCTGACTGTTGGAGGCTGCTGATTAATATGGTGAACTCTTGAAAAGCACTGAAGTGTAAATGGCACTCACAGCTGTTTGCCTGGGGCTCCAGTCACTTCTCTCCAGCCAGGGAGAGAAGGTGCAGCACACTCAGCCACCAGCACCTGAATATTCCTCAACACTGAAAAATTTTGTTCATTTCATGTGGGCATTCCCAATTCACAACTACTTTCCCCGTTCTGTTTCTGGTTTCTTTGTGTTCCAAGGTTCTGCAAACAGCTAACAGAAAAATGGTTCTTCATTAGATATCCCTCACTTTCCCCACTCAATGGAGCCTTATTATGATTTAATGACAAACTATTGCATCCTTATACTATCGAGATTTTATTCATATTTTGATTTTAGAGGATATACGTGTGTGTATATATATATATATATGTGGAGGAATTATTAGTTTAAAATCTCCACATCCTTAGCTTTCTCAAAGATATTCATATACCTTCCAGAATGCAAGTGTCAAAGTGCATCTTCATGATTTATGTAATAATTTCAAATAAGAGACCTTGCTCAAATGTTTTCATAATACTATCCTTCAAAAGAAAAAAAAAAAAAAAACTATAAAAAATAAAACAGCATTACTCACATCTGGAAGGTTTTCATATCTGCACAAACACAGCATCACCAGATTCTTAATGTGTCTAACTCCTTCATATATCATGACAAAATATTTGCAGAACTGATGATGTTGAGGGAGCCTGTGCAGAAAATTTAGCTCCTAGGAATATTTTTGAATCTGCTTACTATATAAGCTTATGCACTCCAATTTTTCTAACTTGCAAAGAGTATAAAGCTTTTCAATTAACACCTTGATGTATTTATTTAATCTTCAACACAGAGACTACATCAGTTTATTCTGAATTTTACCAAATATTTTTGTGTGTGAATAATTATTTTTATATCTTTTAGTATATTTTTCTAACATACAAGGGGAATTGCTAAGTTGTATTTAGTTGTATTCAAAAGTACATCTATCATATGCCTCTAGTGATCAATCATAACCCATCTGTTGCTTTTATTAGTTGTTCAAACCAAAGGAATTGGTGGGTTAGCATTCTCACTAGAGCCAAGGAAAGTACAGAAAATGCCTTCTGTGTTTCAGATCCTATTTTTAAGCCTGCTTAAGTTCTTATAGATTAAGTAATAAACACAGACTGCTTATCATTCATAAATAACATCCCAGGAGATCCCCTGGGAGACGAGGGAGGCAGGGTGTATTTCAAGGACTAAAAATAGAAAGTTATACTTGCAATAATTCCATGGCCTATGACAGATGGCAGCCCAAAGTAGCCAGATGATGCAGATGGGACATTCTGATGTCCACTCTCACCAAAGATTTCAGGCCACCTCCAGGACATTCATCACTGGCTCCTTTAGCAGGAAAGTGGCTGCAGACCCCAGCACACCTCTGCAGGGTGTGAGCAGGGCTGTTCTGAACACAGAACACGTTTGCTGTTTGTGTGCAGCGTGATCACCCGCACTGACACGGAAGGGACACTGCCTGTCCTCACTCGGTCACTGTCACATCACTGAATCCATAAGGCAACCAGTGCTGCTGAGGGAGCAACTGGGTAAAATCCACAGCCCAAACTGCCAGAGGGACTGTCCCTCCAACTCCATCCACTCTGCTGCCACCCGTGCATTTAGCTGCAGTAATTCTCACTGCTGTAATTCATAACACCGTTACACTCAAGTATAAGTCAGGCCAGGGGAAGCCACCATCCCACAAGCAGCTGATGTACCCAGTCACACTGCTGCCACCACTTACTCCTTGAGTCACAAGAGGAGCAGAGGGGATGTGCTCTGCATACACCCAAAATTTCAGCACTGTTGTTTTTTTTTTTTTTTTACCTGGAGCCTATCACAGCCCCTGTTCAATTGCCTGTGAAAAGGGGGAGGACAGAGCATAGGGAGGAGGCAAAAAGTGCTCCTACTGACAATTTTGCCTCTAAGAAAGGGGTTGTGAAACAAATTCCCTCTTCACTGTGTAGTACAGAATCACTAGGGTTGGAAGGAACTTCAGGAGATCATCCAGTCCAACTGCCCTGCCAGGGGAGGATCACCCAGAGCAGGTTACACAGGAACCAGGTGGGTTTTCAATGTCCCCAGAGAGGGAGACTCCACGACCTCCCTGGGCACCTATTTCAGTACTCTGCCGCCCTCAACAGAAAAAAGTTATGTTTTAGCTTTGGTGCAATATTTCATTATATGTAAACACAAGAAATTATGAGAATTGTAAAAATGTTCACAAGGGACATCACTGCTTCATTGCATTTTATATAATTTCTTTCTTTAAAAAATCCTTGAACTAATTTACTATCTAAATAATAAATTATTAATTTATTTATTGTTTAAATAAATTATGACACGTCTGCACTCCCTCTGGCCGCTACCCACCTCCCACCCCCTTTATGGGGCTGCCTGCAGCCCTAGCAACTGGACAGGAGAGCAAACTCTGGTGCAGAGTAAGTGAAGGGGACAAGAACAAGCACTAAGAGCCACATGTAACCACTGTTTTCAACAACCAATAAGTTCTTCCCTCTCAGAATATTGTACACAATTTATTGCAGACCACTAGACAGCTTCCCTCCTATTTATGTGAGCATTCCTAATGGCAACTAATCTCAATCTTGAAAAAAATACCCAACAGTCCTTAAAAGAAACAGCAGCTGAAGAAACTAAATTACAGATAAAAGCAAGGAAAGTTGAAATACACACTCAAAGTAAATAGTGTTATTCTGCAGAGAAAAATGTAATCTGACAAAGAAGTTAAGAGCTTAATTATTAGAAGACCCTCTCTCAGTTTCACTTCATCCTTTTAATGCATAGGGAAGTTCAACAGTATTTTCAAATGCAGTTTTTCAGAAGAGCTCAAGTTTAACTGCTAAAATACGGAGGATAAATTTTGTTCAGAAACAATTTTATACGGAGTGGAGCATTGCCTGAATACAATCAGTTATTTTAGAATTCATTTTACAGTAGGATCCTAAAACTTAAACAGATAAGCTTATTCGTACTAGGAAATAAGTGAACTATTTGAGTACAAGATAAAACTGACCCCAACAAGATTTGCCACAAATAAACCAATTTATTACTTTTTGGCAAGTCCCATACAGCATGAACAAAGATCTTTCACTCACTATATTAAATTATTTAACTTTATACAAACTGTAAACATCTTCAACATGACAAACTCTTGGTACAGGTGTTACCCAGTTCTGGCATCTTTTCTCGCTCAGTTAATCGAACAAAACTGAAACCCAAAACCCCAAAGAACTGCATATCTATAAAATGCAGCATGTGCATTTTATATCACATCAATTCTAAGCAATGCAGAGAACAGTACTTCTTCGTACTATTATCTTTAGTGAAATTTGTAATGGTATTATGAATAGAAACATTTTTTCCATGCTGTTGTATCCTATTTTTTTGTTTGAAATTAAAACCATCATTGTATACAATCAAGGTAGTAAACCGAATTTTACAGTAAGCCAGCTGGTCTGGTATATAAACCAGCTATATTTGTTATACTGTAACAGATAAATAAGAATGTAAAAACTCCTGATCTGGTTAATACTTTGTTTTCCTAGCAGGCACCAGTCTGGAGAGCTGCTTGTCCAAGAACTCCTGCTGTTAGTATCTGATTTTTTCTCTCTCTCAAAGTGCTTTAAATCAGACATAATCTGACCGATAAAGTAATCATTTATCTCCCTCTTAAGTAAGAGCAGATTTTTCTAAGTTCCAGGAATGTAAGTCTGCAGGCTAGCTTTACTGAAAGATTACAAGATACATACTGTTAGGTCATAATCCTCAAAGTAGGGCAAAGGTGTTTAATCTTTTCATGAACCACTTTTCTCCAAACCAACTCAGCAGAAGAAAAACACAGACAATTCTTTAATTGACTAAGGCTTTTTAAAAAACTCAAAAATCACTTTCTTGTTAAAAAAATGGCATTAAAACTTTGGTTTCAGTATGCTCCTAATTTTCAAGTCACATTTACAACAATCTACATCTCTGATGTAAAAAGTCAAGCCATATTAAAACCTTTCCATTCTCTGTGCCTCATAAGAAGCAATTAAAATAAACATAATTCGTTTTTCCAGATCACCTTCAGTTACTGACAAAACCCAAGGTGGTTATTTCTACAGCTGTGTGTAACCAGCTGTTTTAAGCATTACAAAACATCACACTGTAGATGACAAAGTGCTTAGATCAGCAGATCCAGAAATTATGAGTTCAGATGAGTTTCAATACCTGAAGTGAGGACACTGAGGAGCTCTGTAAGTTTTCTGATTCACCAAAATGAATAGGTGAAAGATTATGGAGAATAAACAGTGCAGTTAACTTGCACTGACAGTATAATGTACAGTCCTAAATAACAATGCTCCTCTTGCACATGAGTTGAATTCCTACTGTGACCTGCAAAGAATAAACCCTACATCAAACCTTGGTAAAAATCTTACATGAAAGTCTTTTAAAAGATTGTGCATGTCCTTCAGCCAAGCAAGATATTCTGCTGCTGGATTTACTTCCAGATCTTCTCTGCCCAAATAAAGAAGGGAATAAATCCTACACTGTTGAAATTAGATCCTGATAGGGCTACAAAAACACTGCAGAGGATATTCCATAACCAAAATATCACCAGTTATTTCAAACGGAATTCTTCCATTATTGTGAAAATCTGACAGAAATAATGGAATAGGAACCTACAGGTAACCTTAAATCTTCAGCAGAAATGCAGATTAACCAAAACGAATTTTCATTACTTGATATTTTCTCTGCAGAATTGAGAGGAAGCTCTATTGAAAAAGACGTGATCTACACAGACACCGTTCTACAGATCTTCTAAACATAATTAATACCAACAATTTCACAATATTGTTGTGTGGTTTTGGTTTTTGTTTTGTTTTGGTTTCAGTTATTTCTGATTGATAGTCAAACCTTGCAGGCCTTTTATTTTTTTTTTCTAATTTATAATCCATTCCATTTACTTTCCAGTCTTACTGGGAATTTCCTGGAGCCCAACACACCACGATGCAACTGTTATCCACGTGAATGTACAACTTTTGTATGCTAGCTGCTGTTTTCTGTAGCAGCATCTGTTAGAACTTTTACAGAATTGTAATGTTCTCCTAATCCATAGGCATGCCTCATATACCTAAAAAAAAGTTAAAGAAATATGTTCAGTTTAACAAAAAGTATACATCATGCCAAACAGTAACAGCACTAGAAGACAAATAAAATCAAGCTTTAGCAAGAAAAATAGAAGAGAATTGATAAACACAACTTTTAATTCTGATGACTTCAGGCAGTTTGACAAATACTCTGAAGAAGGAAAAAAGTTTCCTCCATTTTGTATCAATGTCATTATTGCTCTGTAATTATTCAACAGGTAAAATGACCTTGCAGCATTCTCTAAATCAGTG